GGGCATTTAGAGAACATGTTTAGAAATTTTGTTCTATAAAATTTTTTGTCAAAATATGAACTTTTTGTGTCATTTCTAGTCAAAAACTAAAAGATTTTGACAAAAATCTTTGTAAAATTATTTTTAGAAATTTAATTTTTTCCTGAATGTTCGTCATAAAATAAGGACATTTACAGAACATTTTGTGAAATTTTCTTCTATAAAATATTCTGTCAAAATATGAACTTTTTGTGTCATTTCTGGTAAAAAACTAAAAGATTTTGACAAACGTTTGTAAAATTATTTTAAAAATATTTATCTTTTCTTGCATGTTTCTCATAAAATTGGGCATTTAGAGAACATTTTTTAAAAAAAACTAAAAACATTACGAAAGATTTTGTAAAATTAATTTTTTCTGCATGTCTCATCAAAATATAGCGTTTTCAAAAAAATTTAGAAGGAAAATATTTTTGGAATTTTTTGGCAATTTTATAATTTTTTTTGTAATTTCTTGGCAAAATCCCCAATTTATGATCAGATGTTGAAAGATTTTGATGAAAACTTTTGAAATATTTTGTTTCAATTTTTTTACTTTTCTGCATGTTTCTCATCTAAATAAAGAGTTTTCAAAAGAATTTTTGGAAGAAAAATATTTTTGGAATTTCTCAGCAAAACCCAAATTTTTGATCAGATGTTGAAAAATTTGGATGAATTTCTTTATATATATTTTCCTTTTCTAAATGTTTATCATCAAAATATAGCGTTTTGAAAATTTATTGGAATTGTTTTTTGGAATTTTTTGGCAAATTTGTGAAAGATTTTGATGGAAACTTGAAAAAATTGAAAAAAAAATTTCAATTATTTTTTTTTCTGCATGTTTTTCATCAAAATAAAGCGTTTTCAAAAAAATTTTGGAAGAAAAATATTTTTGGATTTTTTTGGCAAAACCCAAACTTGTGATCAAATGTTGAAAAATGTTGATGACATTTTTTTCCAAACAATTTCAAAATATTTTTTCCCAAAGAATTTCAAAATTTTATCTTTTCTGCATGTTTATCATCAAAATATAATTTGTCTTCTAATAATAATATACAAGATCTGAATACTCTGGTTACTGAATTTTCTTACTGGTGCTTTAAGGATTACCTCATCCAGGAACTTGGCATATCGTGCGTATAGCTGCAGTGTGAGTTTCCAGAAACGATGCGACAAAAGTGACAGGTAAACTTTGTCTGACCAGCACCTCACCAGACAGGACCAGAGAACCTCAGACACCTTCAGGTGGTATGTACTGTCGGCTGTACACACAGACAAAAAAACCCCACACAATTACTCAGAGAAGGGACTTGGTTTAGTACTGCAGTCAAAAGGATAGGACAACGGTTCCACCTGTTGCTGCCTGAAGTCCATCACTGATGCTGTTCTCCAGAGTTCCAGCAATTTCCTTGTATCTGGAAAAGAGGGCAACGAACAAAATATTTTGAGAAATGAGAAAACATCTCACATAATCTCCTTAAAAAATGATGTTCAATGAGTTGTGCTCTAGACCTCATAGTCTGTTTATAAAAACGGAGACAGTTGAAAAGATCACCATTCATCAAGTCATGAGACCGTAAGTCATGTGACAATCACATTGAGCTTTTTTTTTTGTCATTGATAATTCTGGTTTCTTCAATAACAGTTTAAGTGGAACGTGTGCCAATATCTTTCGCCCTGAAAATTGCTGACACACTTAATTGTAGTCAAAGCTCATTTCTCTCATACTTAAAAGCCAGTCTGGTCAATTTTTTGAAATGCAACCTCTGCAGGAAAAACATCATTGCTACAGTGTGACCTCATTTTGTTGTGCTGAGTGGTGTAAATGTAAGGTTTGAAAACACATCTTCTCATTGTTGTCCATACACACTCAGTGCTGACTGCATTTTCCTTAAATCTACTTTTTTTAAGTACACAAAACAGTGCAAAATTAATGCAAAATCAGCTGTATATGAAAACAAAAATTAAATCAAACCAGGAAAACTCCACGACAGTAACATGTGGTTTCTAACTATAACACAAAATATCACAGTTAAAATAGTAGTATTTTTAAGATATTTACTGTATTACTGTATTTACTACGTTGGGTAGGCCATTTAACAACCTGTTAACTTACTTCTTAGTAGTACAGTACAGAAACTGTAGATTGTAAAGTTTAAAAATAAAAGTATTTTTTTGGTGGACAATTAAAACCATTGGTGATCACTCTCAAGAACACACTGAATTTGTTTTTATTTTAAAACAAAATGCACACACATGACTTTCATAAACTGGCTCTTGACAAGTTGCAGATAGATAAGATGCAATAGTTATGCTTTGGACATCACCTAACACAGAGTTAATGCCTTTGTTAGTGATTCCACCTGTTTGGGTTTGTTATTAGAAATAGTTGACACAGCTGCAGCACTTTAAATAAATGTCTTGATGCTGCACACCACTGCAAGTGACAGAGTGTCACACACAGGACAGAGATATTATTTACCGTAGCTGGAAGTAGACGGGCAGGTTCCACTTGTTGTGGAAGCTGGTGTATGAGGGATGCAGCCTCAGCCTCTTCACACTGGCCTGTGAACTGCACTGACGCTCAAACCTCTGCACAAACTCCATACTGACGCTGTAGCGCTACAAACAGGGACGGTGTAGACACACTGTTACACACACAAAAATGAACAGGAACGTCCTTCTGAACGTGATCACAGTGACTGCGTCTCTGTGGACGTACCTCGTAGAAAATGTCAGGGTTTCCGGGGTTGAAGAGGTAAGAGAGCCTTTCTTCAATTCCTTTGATAATTTCTGGCCAAACCGAGTTCACCATGAAATCATAACCTGGCACCGTGTCTGCTTTGTCACTGAGGAGCAGGAAGTGGAGCAGTGCAACAGTGAAGACTATCGATATAATTACACATCAGCTGCACAGTGAATTGAATATTTAATCACAAATAATCGCACAATTGTCCATTGTCCTTATAATATTTTTAAGTTTTGACAAATATGTTTCAAATAGCTTGATACAATTGTCTTTTTTATGTTACTGCAACAATCCAAAACAACAATAGATAACATTGATACCTGGCTATGGTTCCTCCCGTCACCTCCCTCAACAGTCTACAGTGATGAGGGACAAACTCCAGCAGTCTGGAGTACATCAGCTGGAGACCGTTGGCATTGGACTTCACAACTTCCTCTATTATTACCTAAGAGAAGTGAAATGTGGAGAGATGTGAATGTTAATTAATTAATTAAACTGACAATTTAACCAATCATTAAAAACATGCACAAACAAATACTTTAGAGCTGTGTACCTGCTCCATGTACGGTTTGACCAGCACCTGTCCCACCAGTGTCTCTGCATCTCGAGTTTTGTCTATTGTGGCGTAAGTCCGGAGGCAGTGACGCACCATCTCAACGTTGGATGTCTGCAGACCCTCAATCAGCAGACCCTCCAGAGACTGCTGCAGCATGGAGGTAATTCCTGCAATACGCTGGAAAGGAATAAAAAACCTTGTGACTCTGGGCATCATGTTGTTCAGGTTAATAAAGCTTTAATGGTCTAAGATACATTTCTAAAATACCAATGAATCTTACTTATTTCAGTCAAATAAGTACAGGGCTCCAGCTAGAATACCAGAAGCACCCAATTGTGTGACCCACAGCACTTACAGGTCTGACTTTGTCCAGCAGGGGCATGCCTTTGCTCTGTACAGCGTGGAATTGCAGCTGATTGAATTCTGTAGCTATTCTCTCCAGGATCTGACCTGCTAACAAGGGACTGAATGTACAGAGACATGCAGATTAAAAAAAAAAATCACACACAGATGCTTGACAAAATGTATCTCTCCAGATTAACCCTAACCTTTTCATTCCTTAGGAAGTTTCTCTGAACAGTGTGATTTATCTATTGTCCGTAGCTAAGCATGCATTTATTTAAAAACTAAGTTAAACACAGTTAATAACATGCCCGGGTTCCTACCTGCTGATTTCCAGAGAGCTGGATTCTTTGGAATTTTGTGAGTTAAGGATTTTCTCAATCTTCTCCACTGAGCGCACCACCTGAATTAACCTCAGTACACACACCTAATAAAAAGAGAAACAGTCATTTTCTATATGAAATATTTTAACATATGATTATTGTTATGTATTTGCTTACATTTGCCAACGAGAATAACGACAAATCAATTCGGTGGTGTTGATTATTCACACGACAGAAATGTCAATTTGATGGTGACTAAACGTTGCACACCACAATCATGAACCATATTTGCTCTAAAGTATTTAATATGAAGCTGGCTCAAGTTAAAAAGAATGGTGAACCTTTTTCTTCTGCAGATCTTCCTGTTTGGACAGCTGACTGTCTATGGCTTGAATCACTTCGCTCACACATGTGCGGAGGCCCTGCAACAGAATGTGATGCTTATGATTCACAACAAGAACCAGTTCACACACTTGGTTATCACCGATCAGTAAACATACCAAAACTTCTTCTCGCAATTGTCCCAAAGGCACAGAGAGCTGATTGAGGGCTTTGTCCATCCCAACCTGAGACAATAAGCAGATACTGTATATTAGGACAGAACCAGGAGAGGGCCTATCACAGCTGCAGCTACATATTTCACAAGTCTCTGACAATAAAAGTAAAAACTGAAAATGTTTCACTTAACAACAATGGACGCATCATCACAAAATGGGCGAGGAGGGACTTTCCTTTGTTTTATTAAATGAGCCTGAACAAAATGCAGGCAAACTGTATATTTTTGTATTTAAATTACCAGATTGGTGGAGAGGTTGACAAAGTCTGCATAGTCCTTGTTGATGAGCTCCACCATGGCTGTTTTCAGCAGCATATAGTAGAGCTCCAGGTCTTCTCTCATCTCCTCCAGCTGGACCTTCTTCCGACACTCTGAGACAAACTGGTCAACGTCAAAGTCATCCTGCAAAGAGTCACCACAGCAGAGAAATAAACATACAAACACCAAGCGTGCAGATAGTAAGATAAATACCAGTAATTGAATATAATCAGTCTTTGCATGTGGTTTACATGTAGCAAAGCTCTTTTTCAACATTTAAAAAATAATTGGCGTATTCAATAGCTGTGGTTCTCAATTATGGTCTGTGGACCACCAGGGGTCCTTGGTATGAAATACCTTGAGAATCATTGGTCTTTAACACACGCCCTCATCTTATACAATGTTTAGACACACACACACTCAAATACAGGCACACGGTTTAGCATGCCTGTTATATCCTGTAAGTTTGAGCACATAATACAGGCACACGGTTTAGCATGTCTGTTATATCCTGTAAGTTTGAGCACATTTTGTGTATTGTATTAAACAATTTGTGTTTCATAACCTTCTGGTTCAGCTTTTTTTTATTATTATTCTGTCATTCTTGTCATTCATGGAAATACATTTCGGTTAAGAAAGGAGTGTCTCTATAGTTGATCACAGTAAGTATCGGTATAACTTGCATAACTTGCATAGTAGAAAAAAGTAAACAACAGTAATTATTTAGTTTAGTTTGACACATATCCATGTGTAAATATCAACAAAAATGCCTGGTATGTGGTAAAAAGGATTTTTAAAGCACGCCAACAGCGAGAGCCTACAGCTTCTAACAGGGTGTTAGCCTAATGTAAAGCAGTTACAAAGCGGTAGCCACGGGAAATGCGTTGGCGAAACGCAAACGTAAGGCACTCACTTTCATAAAAACGTCCTTGTCGAAGCAGAGGGAATCGGGACCCTTCGGTAGGTTCATCTTTTATTGTTAACACGGATTAAGCACAAACAAATAACAAGTTTGAGTTTGATTAGCTTCAGCTGCTACAGCTACTGTCACCGAGCTTCCGCAAACATGGCAAGAGCACAGCACGAAGAAGAAGCACCCGGAACCGTACGTTCTGTCACAGAGACACTGTGCCCTCTATTGGTCGGTGTTGATCACGTCCTGTTGCGTTAGAGATAGATAGATAGATAGATAGATAGATAGATAGATAGATAGATAGATAGATAGATAGATAGATAGGTATTAGAGAAACACGGCAAAAATATGGTAAATACTTTTTATAGGAACATTCTTTTCAATTGCTTAGTTTGTTTTAGTAGTTTTTCATATTGTGAATAATTTGAGCTTTTACGAATATGAAGTTGGTTATTCTATTGAAAGAAGAAAAAAAAGACTCGACTCCAACTATAATCAATATTCGTCTTAAACGATGGGCAGTGGTTCAGAGTGGATCTGGGAGAAGATGCAGTCTCATTGGATGACAGAGAGGAGGCTGTAGTGTCAGGTGATGCGGCGGCAGCCACCACTCTGTTCTCTGTCAACCCGGATGCTGAGCCATGACTGTTGGCAATTCAGCCCAGTGCGCATCGCTGTAGGCAGACCCAGGGGGGCGTCATTTTTTTACGGTACACTAGAAGCCGACAGCCCCCCACCACCACCACCACATCTACGCTTTGGCAATCAAAGGGCTCCGCATCCCAACCCTGGTGGAGTGGATCGGGGACGTTCGGTCAAACTACTACAGGATGCTACAGCCGCACCATTGAAGGATAACGCCTTCCCGTTCTTGCAAAAATCGTGACCGCTCACGGTAGAGTAAGAGAAGAGAGGGAGTAAAGGAAAGAGGGAGCAGGGAGAATTACTAGTGGGGGAGAGAGAGAGAGAGAGAGAGAGAGATGGCGGAGTGCGGGCGGAAGGCGCTGTCTCTCCTGGAGGCGGCCCGATCCCGGTACGAGAGCCTGCAGATATCCGACGATGTGTTCGGCGAGTCCGGGGATGACAGCAGCGACAACCCCTTCTACAGCACCTCCGCTGACTCCGACTCGGACAACTACATCGCCGAAGTGGGCGAGGAGCAGCAGGGGCACCACCACCATCACCATCATCATAAACGGGAGAGCGGGCACGGTGCGGGTTCAGGAGGAGGTGGAGGAGCAGGTCCTCCGGGCTCTCTGTCCCGGAGTCAGGCGGAGGAGGAAGGATGGACGGAGAACCTGCAGGAGGTGACGATGCCGCCGTACAAGGAGACATACGGTAAGAGGAGGTCTGTGGGTGAAGTGACCAGACATTGGTGTGTGTGTGTGTTGCATTTGTACTTGGGACCATTAATGGCACTGTTACTGGTTTTGTACTTAGGACCATTAATGGCACTGTTACTGGTTTGCTCATGAGCTATGGTCTGGAGTCAGTGTCACCTCTCAGAGATGAAGATGCTGAGATCTTTATCAACAGAGACCAGGATTAGAAACTGTCAGATCAGAGGAACATCTGCAGTTTGGGTGGTTTGAAGCTGAAGTGGACAAATGTTGGAGATGGAGCTCCAGGGAGAAGAGCAGAGTGGTAAAGATTTATGGACGTAGCACAGAAGTGTTAGCATGGCAACTGGAGATGATGAACTCAGGATGAAAAAGAAGTGAAGTCCTCCCTGTGTGTGTGTGTGAATCATGGCAGTAAGACAGTACCTCATAGAACTACATTAAAGACACAGTTCAGGCCAACATGTTCTCCTGAGTCTCACTGTGATCTGAACACTGCAGACCTGATGTTTTATCAGACAGCATTGCACCTGCAGCTCCATGCCTGGCGTCTCTGCTAAAGTAGAGATTGTTGACAGGAAACTGTGTATCCAGAGTCAAATTTATTTTACAGTTGAACCATGAAAAGCTGCATAAATCAATGTAGTCACAGCACATAGAAGGAGGCTCATAGAAAAATGCATAAGAGCAAAATTGTCAGAATAAATCTCCCAGGTTGGAGGCTGTTAGTCACTTCCTGTTTGAGGAAGCAGCACGACTGGGTCTGTCTGTCTTTAAGTCCGTCTGCGGTCCACATTTATTGACATGACCATGAGTGGAGGTTCACCTGTTTAACAAAAAGCTTTTTGTCTGGATTTACTCTTTATTTAACCATCTAACGCTCCTAATCCTGACATTAGTGGATGGATTGATGCCAGTTCACGTCCAATAATCCACCGTACACAGAGCTAAGCTGGGGTGATGAAAGTGAAACAGCTTTACTGACGTAAAAAAATATTTCAATGGACGCATCTTCCTCCTCCTCTTTCTCTTTCCTGCCGCGTCCTGCTCTGTCGGGCTGTTTTGGCTGTGTTGACTTCAGGTCACCAGGCAGCAGGTGCCTCCATCTGCTTTGTATAATGTGGTTTGGTTTATTAAAATACAGGCACAGATACAGTCAGTGTGGGTGGTTCCTCCATCCTCAGTCAGGGCCTTGGGTGGATGATGGACTGACTGCCTATGGAACATAATCACACTTTAGTCTTCAAGTATCTCAGACTTCACTTGATTAAATCACCCTGAGCTGTAAGACAGCCCGAGTCCTGAAAACTGTGGAGGTCTTGTTGCTTCTCCAGTGAAGCTACAATGAATTGCAGAAATGCTAATCTGAGATTTTGTTTTGTTTCTTTTCTTTTCTTTTTTTAATGGGGTAATATTTTTTTTCTCACTCTGATGTCTGTCTCTCCGTGTCCCTGCAAATTTCTTCTTTCTCCTTGTCATTGTGTCTCTGGCTGCGACAGTGCTGACACAGACAGACACAGCCTTGGTGTGACAGCTCCAGTACTTTGGAGACTGCAGTTAGTACATAAATCATCAGTGAGCTTCAAACTGGGCTGGAGAAATCTTTAACCGAGTTGTCTTCCTGGATTTCTTTTTACCACACTTACAGTAGGACGGTAGACTAAATATAATGGGTTTTTTTTTTATTTAAATAACTAAAAAACACAGGTTTACTCATCCTGCAAAGGATAAGTAATACGTTCCTAAATGTTTTTACAGAAAACAAAAATAAAAACTCAATTATTTTAAAATAAGTTTTAAAAAAAGCACATTGAGGTACAGAAACAAAGACATCAACTATCATGTCTATGACATGATTTTCTTTTATTTCTTATTAAATTAAATATTTTATGCATATTTATTTTTACCCTATATTTCATTGGATGTTATAAATAAACTTAAAGTTTGGGTTTTTTTTTTTTTTTACAAATTTTACAATGCTTTTATTTAAGAAACATGAAAAACCCTTTTTTTTAATCCTGCAGAGCTAAAGGTTTGAGGTCACAGCTAAGGATTAATCTGTATCTACATCCCATGTTATATAACCATCTTATCCAGTTGTTAAAGGGGCTCAAACTCCTGATTATGTATTCACTTGTATGGAATATTCCTGGTACTTACAGTATCTGCACATGCCATTCTAACTCAATGTACGGTCAATACAATTGTATTAATAAGAAAATAAATAAAAATAAAATGATACATTTTCTATACTTCTCATTTAAATTTAAATTTAAAAAATCTCAATTAAATGATCAAAGTAATATATTTTTTATATATATTTATATTTTTTATATTTTTCCTAAGAATATTTAGGGATTATGGGGTGGATTGGACAAAGATCCAAAGATCAGTGGATACATTAAATGTCCAATATCAGTTTTTATATATATTTTTTTAATATAATATTTTTTGGTTTAAACAGTGCAGGTTTAATGTGTTTGACCAAAGTATTAATTATGAAATAAATAAGTATAATGCAAGGATAGTATCGCAGAGTATCGCAAGAATGTCGACCTAAGAGGGCACAGACTCGACTGCACCATAAATAACGTGTCACTCTTAAATCCTTTAGCTCATGTGCGGGCGGAGGAGTAAAAAAAAAAACATGAAACACTCAGAGTACGATCAAACTGTGTGATATTGTTGAACTGAAGTCCAGCTGGCAGAGGCGTGTGAGGAACAATCTCCAGGGAAAAGAAACATGAAACACAGAGTACGATCAAACTGGGAGTGATATTGTTGAACTGAAGTCCAGCGTGTGAGGAACAATCTCCAGGGAAAAATGAATTGGCTGAGGAACAGATGAAACAATTCCATTATCCATTAAAATGATTTTGAAAAAAAAAAATCCTCCCCAGGTTGTCTTATCGCACCCCATCCTGAAATGAGGAGTGAGTCATTTGGCCTGCGGAGACCTTCTGTCTGAGGGTCCGTTCGTTACACTGGATTTTACAGCTCACCTTGTAAATCTTATTGAATGCAAATGAGTAGATTCTGAATCATGCCCACGGCCGCACTCTTATCTTTTATTACTCTGACTCTGCAGCGTGTTTTCATTTCTGATTCTACATCAGAGAGAGGAATAAAAATCTACATCTTTTACAGCCATGCTCTCCCTCTTAATGCATCAAACAGTTTGCAGCATTTTCTTTGTGGAAAAATAAAATAACAAACCTCACAAATCCAGTCATCCATGAAGCACTGACTGTGTGGCTGCAGTGCAGCCAGAGAGCTTTTAAATGGAAGACATCTCTCATTTTTTTCATTGTAAATCACGAAGGACTCTGTGTTCTAAGGAGAAAAAAGAGAGAAGAGAGAGAGAAGAGAGAGAGAGAGGCCAAGACAAAAGAAAGAAAATGTTTCGTTTTCAGCCGTTGAATAGATTCCAGCTGCTGCTGTTTCTGTCGGGTGACTCATGTCTTTTATTTCAACAATTTGGGAACAAAAATGTGCGACTACATGGGATATTTAAATACAGTACTTCTTTTAAATTGAAGAACAACAACTTTTAATCAAATTAAACCAACTTTTATAACACGAGCGGCAACTGTTGAACGGATGTAAGCAAAAATGTTCAGTTTATGTCACGTAAACAAAAAAAGGATTCAGTTTGAGGAGATGGTTTGATTTATAAACACCAGTTGAAAATCAATTTAAAAAAGTTAAATGACTTCATGTTTAGTCGTTGATTAAATGTCTAGACAATGTTGCCTGAATTAAGTCTCTAATGACTGTATAATGATAAGACATTATGGTAATGACATCTTAAGTTTTATTGGAAGGATCGGCTAAAAGGTTGAGCAAAGTAAAAGGTCAAAGGTCACTGACCAATGGGGTTGGTCAACAGAGTTGAAAATCTAAAAGTTCCACCAGTTTAATCATCAGTTATTGGTCCAATGTAAAATATTTACCTGACTTTTGGCCACTCCTGTTCTGACGCAGGCCCGGCTCAGAAGATGCCGGTCACTGCCTCGGCCCTGGACTTCTTCCAGCTCTTCGTCCCCGACAACTGCATCCAGAACATGGTCACCCAGACCAACATGTACGCCAAGAAGTTCCAGGAGCGGTTCGGCTCAGAGGAAGGCTGGCGCCCCGTCACCGTCCAGGAGATGAAGGCCTTCCTGGGCTTCGTCACCTCCACCAGCGTGCACCGCTGTGAGTCGGTGCTCAGTATCTGGAGCTCGGGCTTCTTCAGCAACCGGACCATCGCCTTGAAGATGAGCCAGGCGCGCTTCGAGAAGATCCTGAAGTATTTCCACATCGTGGCCTTCAGGCCGTCACAGGGAAGCAACCAGGGCCTGTACAAGATCCAGCCGTTCCTGGACTCACTGCAGCAGTCGTTCAGCTGCACCTTCAGACCTTCACAGACACAGGTGAGAACCACGGTCCAGAGATCTCTCTCTCTCTGCAAAGACGTTGCTGATCAAGGTAGTTAGTGTTTACAAAACCTCTAAAAATATAAATATAAATACACATCTGTACTACAGTACCAGTGATTAATTCCTCGCTGACCTTCTTAATAAACAGGCGTGTGCAGCAGCCCCCACAGAGAGAGTCCCACTTTTATAGGAACCGTCGACGCAGCAACTATCCAGGCTCATTTTTTACGAGACTTCCCCTCCAGTAGAAGTTCATTCAACTAGTTCTGGCCTTTATAAAGTAGATCTATATTTATTTATGTAAGTGGGCCTTGCTTTTCTATTTCTGTGCAGGCTTGAAACTGCTGCTCTTCTGTTTCTCCAAATCTGCAGCAGTGATTCCAAACCTAACCAGTCTGTCCTACAGGATTTAATAAAGTGATCAAAATTATTTATTTTTGCATTCTTAAGGTAAAATAATGACTCATGGAATTATGAAATTATTTATTTTTGCATTCTTAATGAAAGGTAAAATAATGACTCATGGAATTATTTTCCATTTTAAAATCTGATTTTTGTTAACATGATAACCCCAATCTGACAGAACCAGAGGTGGTTTACCACATCCCCATGGGTGCCGTTACTGCCCCCTGCTGTCACTCTCTAGTTATTAAAAATGTATGAATTTCGTGAAAGCAGCTGGTGGTTTTAAGCAGCAAGAGCTTCACTTTGAAGATGATGTCAGTCAGTAAAGACGTGGCTTTGAAATAAAAAAGCATTCAGGAATTGATTTCTATTTTTAAAAATTCAACAGTGGCTGCTAACAGTGCTTTTTAATACTGTTTTGAAAAGATTTTTTTTGCATAATGCTATATAACATTACATCACGATGATCTACTTACATGTGATTCCAGGTTCTCCACGAGCCTTTAATAGACGAGGATCCCGTGTTTATTACCACCTGTACAGAAAGAGAGCTGAGGAAGAGGAAGAAGAGGAAGTTCAGCCTCTGGGTCCGACAGTGCACCTCCACTGGATTCATTTGTCAGGTAGCAACACACTGTGTGTGTGTGTGTGTGTGGTTGTGTATGCTCTTACCAGAGGGTGAGCACGTGTAGGTGCAGGTTGTAGTCATGACTCAACAGTCGGCATTGTTGTAATTCCTGGTGGAGTAAAATAAAAAGCACTGATGGAAAACAAATTAAAAAACAATATCATAAAATCACAATATGATTTGATATGGTGTAAGAAAACTGATATATAATTTATTAGCAATATTGCCTGAAATCTTTTCTCCTTAAAAATCGCAGGAATGAAAAGCTGACCTTTAAGTGAAGGCAAAATCATTTTAGGGAGGGGGCATTATTGAGAGGTGGGGGCAACAGGGTTAGGATTGCTTGGCCCAGGGCTGCATAAATGCCAGGACTACCACTGGCCTAACAAATTGTATTTGGTGTTACTTATTGGTTTATTTGACCAGCCTTCAGCTGCATGAATGAGGAAAAAATGTCCCTATTATTACGAGACTCAACTTTGTGTCAATAACTGTGACTCACTGAGGTGTTTACCTTATTTATAGTCACTTCTCAAAATTTGCCATTTTAAACAGGAAGATGTTAAATTAGCAGCTCCACAGACTCGGTCACAGTTGAATCAATTTTCCATCATCATCTCCGTGTTTATTAAATGAACATTAACATTCACGCTGACTGGGGTCATTTGGCTGCTCTGCTCTGCTGTGTGTCTGCTCTCAGGCCTTTTTCTCGAGAGGGAGAGAAAAAAAAAGAAGAAATTTAACGAGTTAATGGAGTGAATCCATGGGATTCCATTAGGTACAGAAGCACACACACACACACAGAGACAGACTGAATGATACACACATTTGATGTTCAGACTGGTCACGTTGACAACATTCAGCCTCTGAGCAACAACATGAAGAATTAACCTGTGTTTGCTGGTTAAATACTGGCTCAGATATCCCAGCAGTCACCAGGTAAGGGTCAGGGGGATGTTACACATTTTACATTTGAGTTTAGGAACTGTGACATCATCAATACTTTAAACCAAAGGAAAATATTTTTGGAATAAATTTGATGCACTATTTATGTATTTAGATTTTGTTTTGGAAGATATTGCTTACATGAAGTAATTCTATTTAAATATCTGTGGGGTGTTTTCTCTGCTTGACCTCTGACCCCACAGATCGCAGTGCACCTGAAGGAAGGCCAGGGCTCGGAGACTCTGGCCACCTTGAAGAACAAGACTCAACTTCACAGTCTGGTGGCCAAACAGCTGTGTCAGAACATCTCTGGGAAGAACACCATCGTCTTCACCGGGCCGTCCATCACCAGTCTCAGCCTTTTCACTGAATTCAGCAAACAAGGTTTTAAAACATCTCCATGTCTTACTCTAACTAATTTTCCAGTGATTATGTTTCCAGGACATCACCTGATGAAAGTCAGTCAGTGACCAATAATGACAAATGTTTTTAGACTCTGCTGTCACTATAAAATAATGTTTTGCTCATGAGTAACCAAGGTGACAGCAAAAAAAAAAAAAAACTCACCATGAGTCACTGAGCTCAACTTGCATTTTTTCCCCCTCGGTTTTAATCGTTTTCAGCACATACTGCAGCTTCACAGATGACGCAGATAAAAATGGAGGAAAAAAAAAATCATTGTCCTCTCCACTGAGAATCCGCAGCAGTCAGACGCTCGATTGTTTCTCCTGCGCTCGTCCTTCCAGGACAAAGAAGAATAAATTGTCTAGAGAGAAATAAAGATGAGAGATAAAGACTTTATTGGTCTTTTACTTCTGCTGAGTCACAGCTTTGTCATTTATGAAAAGAAACAATCAATGCACTGGTTTAACTGCAGGGGTGATGGATAAAAACCAGGCATCAAACCAAATCATCCATCAAATATCCACCAGTATTTTAAAGAAAAAAAAAGCCAACATAATATCTCAAATATTCACATTCCCAACATTATTTCAGATATCTTCTGCTGCGGCCTTCTGAGCACCAGGAAGAGTGACTGCACCGGATTACCCCAAAGCATGCTGGTCTGCAGCTCCACACCGGCGCAGCGCGGCCAATCACGGGTGATGATGAAAGGCAGCATGTCACTGATCAGCTGGTACAACAAGGGACACTTCAGGTTCCTCAGCAACGCATACTCCCCAACAAAACAAGGTAATGATCGGAACTTTTTTTTTAACCTAGGAACTGGTAAAAACGTTAAAACTTTGATGTAGTTAACTTTGACATGAGGCTATAAGATGGAAGTCGTTACTTTAATATAAAACCAAACTTTTCCTCTCAAGTATAGCCCACCCCCAACTTTGAGAACCACTGTTTAAATCTGTGATAATCCTAGCAGAATTACCATTTGTACTCTTTCTTAAAGGTTAATCCTCACAAAATGAACAGCTTTGTCAGTTTTTAATGCACTCTGAAGGACTGCTCTGTGTGTGTGTGTGTGTGTGAGTGAGTGTGTGTGAGTGTAAGCTGCCGCGGATCCTCGTTTCACTTTTACTCTTATTAGCTGGTATTGATTTCCTTCTCCCCTGTGTGTGTCTGTGTTTACTTTGTCCTTTCCTCTTCCAGCGACGGTCCAACAATTTCATTTTAAATATATGACAATGTGTGTTTAAAAATAATACAGACAGTCATCTGTGCAGGGCTAGTTATATGTCTCACACTGAGGTTCATCACTGCACCAAAGTCCATTCAGAAAATGAGAGATTTTATCTCCCAGTGCACTGAAGTTATTTCTACATTTCTGAATCAACAAATCGAAATGATTAAACTTTGAAAGTAAGATAGTATGTGTGTGTATATATATATATAAATATATACATTAGTCAGACAGAATCACTGTTAATTGTATTTTCATCACTGTTATGTTTCCTACTGTGACCAAATGTCTGCTGTGGAAAAATAAATTCTTTAAACAAAGCAGCTCCACAGGAAGCCAAGAACAAAGAGGCAAATGATAAATAATAAAAACAACACACACACACACACCTCTCTGGTGTTTGTTCTCCTAAACTGCAATGTCTTTGGTATGTGTGTGTGAGACAGGTCTGATCATAAAGAGGAAAAGTGGAGAGGTTCCATGTCCACTGGCTGTGGAGGCTTTCGCAGCTCATCTCAGCTACATCTGCAAATATGATGACAAATACAGCAAGTACGTACCGACCCGACAAAACTGATGTCCACCACAGACAGGCTAAGTCTGATTAGTCACTGTGTGTGAGTGACAGCTGCACTGTCCAATCTGAACTCAAGTCTTTGGTGCCCTGGCTGTTGGGAGTTGGGCTCCTATTGGACGATGCAGCTGTCAACACATTTACACTCTTAATACCTTAATTCATGTAATTAAGGACCAGAGCAGCTACAGCGACTGTGTCCATCATTACTGTAGTATGGTTAAAAAAAAACACAACATATTTCATTTAATTAGTGTTTTTTTTTCTGCCAAAGGTACTTTAAACTTCCACAAGCCAAACAAAACCTGGCAGCAGGTGTTCTGGCTGAGCATCAGCATCGCCATCAACAACGCCTACATCCTCTACAAGATGTCTGACGCCTACACTGTCAAACGCTACAGCCGAGCGCAGTTCGGAGAGAGACTGGTCCGAGAGCTGCTGGATATAGAAGATTGCTTCTCCACACAGTGAGGAGGAGAAAGAGGAGGAGGGGGAGAGGAAAAAACACAAAGCCCACGCGTCAATTTAATACTGAATACTGGCGATATTACTGAAGCAGTGCCAAGCCTTTGTTGCTCTTCCTCTCCTTTTGTTTGTGGTACTGCAACATATCCCTAAATACACTGCTACACATTATCGAGAGTTATAAGGTATGGGAGAGTTCCCCTCCCTCATCTTCAACTTCACACACACACACACACACACACTGAGGAAGATAAAAAAAAAAGTCCAGCTCACAAGAATTGACCATAAAATGCTGCCACTTCTATTATTTTCATGTCTTATCAAAGAATGAAATGTCTGAAGTTATGACGTAGCCATAGTGTGAAAAACACTACATTTTCATGTAGTCTGATATTTTCATTATGCAAAAAAAAAAAAAGAAATTACACACAGACACACACAGGACTCCATAAGAGAAGGTTTAGTAAAACCTGAACTGTGGTTTGTTCACACACTGCATGCAAAAAGAATCTGGTTTGTTGGTTTGTGGTTGTTTCTCTTGTTCAATGTGAAAATGATTTTCTGACACAGATGGGTTTTAATCAAATGTTTGGAGAGTATTTATTCAGAAGAATGCACTGGTGTTCCTGTAAGTGAGGATGTAAATGTGTGGCTATTGTGAATGTTGTGTGGCTATTGTGTGTTGCTGCTTACGTAACTCACCTGACATGGATCGTCACGTGACCTGAAGCTACACGCAGTAGTGTGAATCCTGTCCAACTTGTCTTTAAAAAAAAAAGATTCGGATTAAATTGGTGTATATTTTATAGACATCTAAAAACGCTTTTAAAATCTTTACAAGGCGATTTACTTAGAATGTATTTTATATTATTTTATCTACGTACTTTATTTTGCACGAGCACGGTTTACCACAAGATGTTTTAAAAAATGCCCTGGGAAATGTATTAATGACAATTAAAATAACATTTAAACTTGCAAATACCACACCTTGAAGAACGAAACGGTGGCCGTCCTCCGTGTAGCATTTTAAACTTCTTTAATTCTGAGAAACATTAACCGACAGAGTAGCATTCATTTAGCATCTTTTGTTTCTCTGAACTCCCGCTGCACTGGGACGTCTCACTCTAATAGCCCCAGGTGTTGATCATCGATACCTTATACACACAGCGCCCTCTGCTGACCAGCTGCTGCAACGCATTTAGACCTTAATCACCTGCAGGGGGGGGGGAATAAATCACAGAGATGACGTCAAAACAGCAATTTACACATACTTTAACGTCCTAAGCTTTTTCTAATGAATTACAGTTTTAAGATATTGTGAACTTTTTTTCATGGTTGTCCCTGGAGGCACTTACCCATGAAACACTCAAAATCCTACAAGTTTAATATAATAAAACAAATATATACATTTGTAATTACGTACATTATTATGGTAAAACGTACATAACATTTAAAAGTTTGGCTGCTTTGTGATTTCAGATAACTAATTCTGTGGGCTGTTTCCGATTCCAAGTCCGTTTTTTCGTTACCTTTCGTCCCATACACCACTTCCGGTCCATGGACCACACTGCTGCGTGTAGCACAAACTGTGGACTTTGTTTCCCACATTTCATGCAGTCGACAAATGATAGTGATGCTGGTGTTGTGTGCCTGCTCCGTCTGCATGGTTCTACGTACGAAAATGTATATAATGCTGACAGAGCAGAGCTGGTTTGTGATTGGTCGACAGGACTCGCGCACTTTCCCTATACGGCACCGTCAGGCACTGAACGTGACTTTCAGTTTTGACTGGGGTGTAATGATAGTGTACACTTTTCACACAAAAAAAATAGCTATAACTATAGGTAGATGAATAACGTAGATATTATATGGAATACCACAGTTAACTATCACTGAAAGTAACGACTATAACCAAAAGAGAGCAGATTTACACTGTAAAATGTAGAGACTAAGATTTAAGTATGTCTGTGTATATTTTGTTAACACGACGATAATTATCAACTATCTTTTTAACACTTTTTTTTTACTTTTTACTGATCCAAATCATTGTTGTTGTCATTGTCAATGTTGTGAGAATGTTTGTGTACACCACAAAAATAACACTGTTGACGTAATAAGAGAGTCACCTGTCATGAATGTTTAAACTAACGGTTTTAATAGAATAATCCATGTGGTCAGATTATTCACACTTGTATGACATTGACTGGTTGACCATGTTGACCTGAAATACAGCTGTGTTTATTCACTCACTCTGACTCTTAAGTTCTTCAGCACTAATGAAACTGGGCCCGTGAGGAAAAGTATGCAAAATCGTCTGTTCTATAAAAACAAAAAAGGATGTAATTATCCTGCCTCCCCTGCAGGAGGTGCTATAATCTCTTTTTTATGCTTAAGGATTTTAACTTCTGCACACATTTTACAACTTGAGGACAAAGTAAATTTTGGTTTTGTAAAAAAAACCAATGCAATATGAAAACTCTGCTTATAGTAGTGTCTTAGAACAACAATGCAATATGCCAACTCTGCTTATAGTAGTGTCTTAGAACCAATGCAATATGAAAACTCTTATAGACACGCTTATAGTAGTGTCTTAGAACTCATGCAGAAAAACGTTAAATAAAACAAATATGCTAATGTATGCGATGCTATAACAAAATAGTTTATAATGTTTTCACTACGTTTTCTTTTTTTGTTTTACACTGGCTTCATAGGATATAAATTAAAAATCAATGGTTCCTTCACTTGTTTCTAGTAGAATGTACTCTAAATATGTGTATAAAAATCATTTTTATTCTTTTGTTTGGTTGTAACAAAAAGCAGTTTTTCATCTTTCATGTGAACTACAGGACATCTGCTATCATGGTAACAATAATAGAAAAAGGTTGTGGAACAAGCAGTACTCACACAAGCAACTGTCTCCAGTGTGAGTCACGGGTTTTACCCCAAATTCTTGGATAAGTCAAGAGAACATGATGTTGAATCAGACCAGTTCAGACTCAGGGAAATTTATGTTTTTTAAGGAAGAAGAAGCATTTTGAAAAGGCAGTGTCAAAAAACAAAAAAACAAAACTGAGATTGAACTCTAAGTTAAAAAAAAAACTCATTACATAAAACAGTAGGATACAGTAAGTGTCTGATGATAGAGTCATCTCATGTGTGAGCAGGTGGTGTGAGTGTGCCCTGAGGTTTTCTTTCCAGTTCCCAGGACAAGGACAGAAATAAACCAGGATGAAAATGAAGGGAGGGGAAGAGAAGGACTTTAGTGATAGAGTTATTTTGTCATAAATGCACTGTCAGCTTTTTGTGACTTCCTTTTTCATCATCCAAGGCAGTGGCTCCTTTAGATTTTCTGCAGCGCCCCCTTTTTGTAGATATGAATATTGTAAAATTCCTTCCCCCTGCCCTTCTTTTTTGTGACCTATCAGTAGAAAGAAAACCATTCTTCTTTTTTGTGACCAATCAGTAGAAAGAAAACCAACCATTGATTAACACTAGATGTATAAATAGTTAGTAAAAAAAAGACACATAATAAAGAAGATGAAAATGTTACCACTTTAGTAAAAAAAAGAAAATCATATATTATTATAAAAACACATTTGTTGTGTTAACTGTGGCAACGTGTCATTTCTGTATGGTGTCAATATAAATAAAGCAGATGTCATGTATGTGTTGATGTGTATTTTCAATATTAGGAATAAAGAGCTTTTGGGTGTTAATAACTGACGTGGCTGATCTCAGGGCTTCACCTCTTTGTTTTTGTTTTTTTTCACTAACAGATGTTATAAAAACAACACTCAATGAGCTGTAACCTGGTCAGGTGCTATCAACATTACACGATTAGACATTGTGTCTGTAAGAGTTAGACCGATAAGAACTCATGTTGATGACAGTGGAGAGAGTGCAGAGGAATGTGTGTACATACAGTAGGTGCATGTGAAGCTGTCACTGTTCAATGGCTGCTCTGTGTGTGTCGGACCAAATCACCTGAGTTGCTGCTGAGTGGTACCAAAGTTGTCCTGTAAACGTGTTTGCATTAAAAGCTTCCTGTGGAACGTCGGTGTTCTGCTGTTCTGCTTTTTAAGAAACGCACAATTTTCTCAGAATTAACTGATATTGTTCTTGGACACTCCCTACGGCTGGGACAAACACCCTGCACTCCCCCACTTCCTTTAAACAAACAACCTCTCCCCAGCAAAAATACACAAAACACACTGTTACAGTGGAGGAGCTGTTGCCCAAGAGACAGAAATGGACCGGTTCCAGCTGCGATTAATCAGAGATTAATTCATTCCCCCGTTGTTTTCCTTTCATTTGTTTTAAAGACTATCATTGAGGAGACATATGCATACTTTAAATATAATCTCTGTGTTTTTTATTTTATTTTATGACAACAACTAAGGCCTAACATCATCTATTTTTCTTTAAAGCAAAAACACACCATAACATTTTACACCAGGTGATTTGAGATGCTTGAAAAAATGTCGACACCTGTGCTTTTAACTCGAGTATTTCCACTTTCAGCTTTGATCTGCAGGAAGAACCTGACATTATTTCACACGTGAAAAATTCAGAGCAGTAAAGACTCACAAAACAACCTCACTTTGACAGTTTAATAGTAAGAAAAGTAAGATTTTAAAAAAATAATACAGGATGTACAGGTTTGAAGAATGCAGCCCCACGTTAGCCCCTGGCTAACTTTAAGTGTTCAGAGTGATACAATACTAAATCATTTGGATTTGTTTACACTTGTGTAAAAAGGCCATCGTTCCACGGTCTGCTGATATGATCAGTTAAAGGTCAATCACTACAGTAGTCACCGCCATTACTGTGAGCAATAAAACTGACGGACCGGTCACTGGTGTGACCACAAACAAATGTTTTAGTGCATTCACCGTGTTACGATTGCAGCTGCAATTACACTGACTATCAATAGAGGGCAGCAAAGTACAGTTCTGTCAGTCCAAGGTGTCCAGTGCACGCAGGATAAAATGCGTTACATGTGGCCTCAGCACCGAGGTATGAGTTTATGATTGGACCGTTTTCCTGTCTTTTCTAGAACAGGCTCAAAAACATGGGGTAAACAGAGGTAACTTAAACATCAGCCCTCAGGAAGAGGCAGTTTGGCGGACAACTAGTGGCATGTTGTTCCATCTGCAGAGTTCAAGAGGCTCTGAGTGAAAATATTATTCCTGCCTCTAACTGTGTCTGGTGGAGTGTGTGTTGGACAGACAGACAGAGAGACAGACAGAGACTGTGTCTGGTCGAGCGTGTGTTGGACAGACAGACAGACAGACAGAGAGACAGACAGACAGACAGACAGACAGAGAGACAGACAGACAGACAGACAGAGAGACAGACAGACAGAGAGAGAAGTAATACCTTTTGTTGCAGACGAGTGCTGCAGGCCACTCTCTCTCTCTCCCTCTTTCTCTCGTCCGGCCTCTACCTGCAGATACCTCAGCTCATAAAGATTTATTCTGAGTGTAAACGCCTGAGGAGAACCCGGACAACAGGACCGATCTGTCCGTTGAGACCAGCACCGAGCTGCAGCTTGTCCTCAGGGCTCACACGAAGAAAAAAAATACTACCTACCCCTCAGCAGCTCGTGGCGCAGGACAAACAGGCTGAATAAGAGGAGTGTACGGTATAGAAAATCTGGAACAGAAAAAAAATCAAATAATGTTAATATTATAGTTACGAAATTATTTGCCTAATAAATAATGCCAGACAACAACAAAGTTCATTTCTGATGACAAAAATATCTAAAAAATAAACTGTGAATTCATTTTAAGTTATTCAATACACAAATAATTATTAGACCTATTTTTTTGTGACCAATGCCACACTGGTTCCTTCTGACCCCGACAGTTGACCTCGCTGAATGACTGAATTTGCTTCCAGACCCTTCAGATCAAGACTCTGAAAAGGATGAATTTGGAGATAAATAAAAAAAAGCACTGGAACAGATATGTGCTGAGTAAACACTAACTGCAACAAAAAATAGTTTGGTATCGGGGAACTGATAACAAGGGTAGTTAAGTTAGTCCATAAAAATAATAAAATATTTTAGGCATAAGACAGCAGTGAAAAAAATCAACATCAATCAAAATCCTTTAGAAACATTTTTTATATACACATAAATATATATATAAATATATATGTAAGTATTTATATATATGTCTACATATAGACATATATATTTTTATATACCTCTAAATATAGACATATATAATTATATTTTTTTATTTACATCTATATATAGACATATATGTAAATATATATAATTATATACATATATTTATATATATTTATGTGTGTATGTACATGTACGTATATGTATACGTACACTTAACATAGAGTGTGTCTGGATATAGTAAACCATTACACCCTCATCTATAACATGACCTCATTTTAGTTGATTATGATTCCTATTAATAATTAATAATGCTGTGTAGTAGAAAAAAAAGAAGAAAAAAAAGTCAGTGTTTCTTTAATGGAGGAGACGTCTAATAAAAGTGACTGCAGTAATGCACGGGTGCTTTAACACTGCGGCTGAACTTCCTCCTCTGCCGTGGTACTGGTTGGATAAATTAGTGCATCTGGTTTCAGAGTGCACTTCTGCTGCTTCTCATTTGAAATAATCGAATAGAGAAAAAAAAAATTATTAAAGGCCTTATCTGATCACGTCAGAAAAACAAAACCAGCTTCAAACCGCTGCTACGTCCACGGGCTCGACATACGCCGGGTCCCTGCTCCGTATGTTGAGCACCTGATGCAAAAAAAAAAAAAAAAAACCCATAATGTAAACAATGCTGCCATGTATGTTTTTCACAGTGATAATGTAAAACATTATCCAAGTCTTTCCCAAGTTTATAACCTCTCTGTCTCCAACGTGTCTGGAGTCTCCACCCATCCTATGTGTGCAAGGTTATGACATTCTCAGCCCACATCAAGCTCTTAACACTGCACATGCACACACTCACAAATACACAACTAACACGCACACACACACACACACAGATACATAACTGAATGCAACGTGTTGAAATCAGCGCCGTCGGTGACACCGGAGCATTGATTGTATTTATGGGTTTTTCTTTATGGATATCTTGTCAGGTGAGGTCACGGTCCCGTTGTACATGTCACCTGCAAAATGATGCATTACTGCACTCAATTATTCATTATCCTGGAAGGAGTTATCACTTCATTATCAGTATGACTCCTTTTGTTTGGGTTGTGGTGCCATATTTGTCAAAAATCAAGGCGTTGATAGTGGATGATGTGGAATGATTAACCTCACTTTATACACATCGTATTCCACACTGTTGACCAGTGCCCTGTTGCAACACTGTTACACACACGCCTGAGGAGGAATTGTTTGGAAAACATCAACTTCAACATGAGACAATGCTTTAAAGGCGGTGCATAATCCAGGTTTGGTTTGGGGTTTTTTTATGTTTTACAGCGTGATCCTGGCCTGAGATGACCTGAGCTA